ACCCATTAAAATTGGAAAACGACTTTTTGGTCCAAAGCTGGTGCTGCATTTCTCACTGGTGTGAGCTAACCTGTTGATGCTCAGTCTAGGTTCTAATTAACCGTCGTTACGTGAATGAAATGTACTTTTCCATGCTAGCATGTGGCAACAACTCAGGCATTAATACGAATGTAATTTGCTATTACTTAGATAACTGGCTCATGCGGAGCTATAGTAAGGTGGTAAGATAAACTACCAAATGTACCATGAAATGTACAGTAATTATATGAAAATGTCAATTGCCCATTAAAAATGAGTACCAGGCAAAAGCCTACGATAGTCACATAATAAACACTAATCTGAAAGTCAAAGTGGATCGAGACTTGTCTGGGTTATTTCTTACTCTGTGAGTGCATCTATTATCCAGCAGTATTTTGATACTATCAGCCCATATACTTTCATCGGGTTGATTTGAAATAGCTTCTAGAATATGAATAATAAGTAGCAGGGAAGGCAACACATGTAGTAACTCACCATAATTATTGCCTTTGTGCATTTGGTAGCAGTAAACATGACGATGTAACATGACAAGAATTGGATGATGATGACGATGTTATAACACAGCAAGAAGGAGCTGAGTCAGCATAAATCACGTTGGGTTGACCAACTTATGAAACCAGTTATCTAGGGTACTTGTACAGAAGCGAGCTCTTTTTCCTGTTGGATCCACCTGGAAATAACGCTCACTATTGTTGTTTGATCGTCTCTCCTGCCATATCTGTGCTTTGGCCATACTACCTGCTGAATCTTAAGCCCGGCCCACATAACCTGGTGGTCATGTCGCTTCTAAAACCCCCAAATTGGGACTGTGACAATGCACTCCCATATGGCTGTTCAAAGATGTATTTGTTGACGATGGTATGAAGACAGTACCGAGAAACAGCCACACTACGATAGGCAGCTGTGCTTCTGTTCTTTGAAAACCGAATTGTCCGCAATCTTATCCAGCTATCACAGGTTAACAAGCTGACCGTTGAAAGCAAAACGGCTGAGACTTAACCGAATGGACAAACTTCTTTTGATACCCCTTAAAATTAACTCCATCGAGCCTGTGCTTCCTAGTAGAACCTTAGAAGTAGCGACTAGCATGCTAAGTTAATGACTGTAGAAAATTTTAAACTGAACTGAATCAGATGATTTTGTTAAGATAATGAAAGCCTCCCCTGAAATGCTCTGTAGCTTAGCTTTATTTGTCGATCAACGCATGTTTGCTATTATCGAAATCCATGCAAAATATGTCTCTATTATTTTATAGCTTGAAAGGTTTATGTCGCACATATATCAACAGAAGCTGACTACCCCTTCAGGGCCACTTGAGCGCCTCTTTATCCCCTATCGCATTCAGGACTAGGCTGATAACTTTTTTTGTTTTCCGACACGTCAGCTTAAGCAGAAGATGCAACAACTTGAATTAATCACGAGAATATCAGCAATGCCAAAGAATCAGTTTGCCCACCCTGTCGGTTTGAA